ACATGAAAAAACAATGAACTTCAACCCTTACTTCACACCACACACACAAAGTAACTCAAAAGAGAATCATAGACCTAAGTGCAAAAGCTAAACCTATCGATATAAAGCTTCTAGAAAAACAAAACCAAACAACAACAACAAAGGAGGAAATCTTCACAACCTCTGGGAGACAGAGGTTTCCTGAATAGGACCCCCCAAAAAAGCACATGTTCTATATACAAGAACATGTTGAAAAATTGTACTTCATCAAAATTAAAAACTTTTGTTCTTGGTAAGATACCAATAAGAAAATGAAAGGGCAAATCACAGACAAGGATATAATATTGCCAATAGTTTCTGACAAAGGACTTGTACCAAAAATAATAAAAAATCTTATGACTCAACAATAAAAAAAACCAAATAAGTCAATGAAATAGACATTCAAATGACCAATAGTCACATAAAAATATTCAACACACCATTCATCAATGGGAAAACACAAATTAAAACCACAGCCAGATGCCAATACATACCCACTAAAATGGCCAAAATTAAGACTGACAGTAGCTGACAAGAATACGGAATACTTGAAATTCTCACACATTACTGTGTGAAACGGTACAACCACTCTGGAATACTATTTGACTGTTTCTTATAAAGTTAAACATATACATACCATGTGATCTAACAATCCGGTCTTAGATATTTATCCAAGAGAAATAAAAACACATGTCCACAAAAAGACGTGTACATAGCAACTTTATTTGGAATAGTTCCAAGCTGGAAAAAAACCAAATGTCTATCAACAGGTGAATGAATAAACAAATTGAGGAACATCTACACAATGAAAGACTACTCAAGAAAAAAAAAAAGAAGAAGAAGGAATGTGCTACTGGTATATGCAACAACATGGATGAATCTCAAGACATTATTTTGAGCAAAAAGAATTCATACAGCAAAAGCCATAATATACCATATGAATCCATTTAAATGAACTTCTACAAGGGGCAAGACTAATCTATAATGACAGAAAGTAGAAAAGGGGTGGCTTGGGGCTGGTGGGGGAGGGTGGGCTGCCAAGGAGCACAGGGGACTCTTTGGGATGAAGGAAATGCAATTGTGGTGGTGGTTACATGGGGACAGACATTTGTTAAAACCCAAACTGTGCCCTTAGAACACGTGCATGTTATTGTATGTAACGTTGATTTGGGGGAGGGAGGTATGGGGAGTTAAGGTTGTGTTTGCTTCTTTACAAGGATGACATCTCCACAACCCAAGAAGATGGCTAGAGCCCCAGCAACCACAAAGAGTACTAAGCACTGTAATGAGCACTTAGTATGTGCCTGGCAACCTATCAGGCCCTTCCATTCATTGGCTCAATGAAGCCTCACACCAGTCTTTAGGATGGGTGTTATCATCACCCAAACTCGACAAAGTTAAGACATTTGCTTAATGTCACACAGTTAGCAAGAGGCATGATCTGGACTCTAACTCAGGTCTAGCTGTGCTTTTCATAAACTTCTCTGTTCCATCTCCAGAGAGGAAAGAAATCCAATAAGCACAGAGGTCACACATTTAAAAATAACCATGGGCCGAAACCGGTTTGGCTCAATGGATAGAGAGTCGGCTTGGGGACTGAAAGGTCTCGGGTTCAATTCCGGTCAAGGGCATGTACCTTGGTTGCGGGCACATCCCCGGTAGGGGGTGTGCAGGAGGCAGCTGATCGATGACTCTCTCATCGATGTTTCTAACTCTCTCTCTCCCTTTCTCACTGTACAAAATCAATAAAATATATTTTAAAAAAATTAAAATAACCACAGAAGTCAACTATGATTTTTAAAAGTTGCATCCAAAGGAACTATTTCTAGTTGCAAAGCCATTGGTCTGACTTAATTAAGCGTGCAGCTCACCACACAGGCAAGGCATGTTCCTTTATAAAACATCTCATCAGTTAATACTTCCGGAATTCTCAAGCCAACTGGGCCAAAACACGAGCCGTTGAATAATCCTACTCTCCAGGCGAGGACCAGCCTATTAGGAAACCTTAATACTTCCAGGTGCTAAAGATCCTGGAGCAAATGACTTGGCCACAGACAACACAGAGAATGGTCCAGAAAGAGGGCAAACCTGGGCTTCCAGACTTCCCACCCCACCATCAACATGCCATCCTTTGAGAGTCCACCTGACACACCAGCAGAGCTCAGTGCATCTGGTCCCATCATTGAGGACGCAGCCAAGAGAGTCAGACAGAGTTAACTAAACAGCCTCCTTTGCGGCTGTTGCTTCCCTGGGTGACTGACCACTCAGTATTAGCTCTGGAGGCTGCAGGTCAAAGAGCCCAGACTGGCTTCTAGTCTGCCTCTCCCACTGATATGCTGTGTGACATTGGGTGAGTTGTTGGACCTTTCTGACCCTTGGTTTCCTTTGGGGCACTGCTTATGCCCATCCTATATTCCCGGAGAATGGCTCTGAGAATCAGCTGAGAGAAGAACTGAATGAGGAAGTTATTTGTAAACTGTGATACTAGTTATTAAGTTCTTACTAGAGGCCCGATGCACAAAATTCGCGCCAGAGTAGGCCCTCCTTCCCCCGGCTGCTGGCACCGGCTTTCCTCTGGCACCTGGGACCCAGGCTTCCTTCACAACCCCAGCTTTGTCCGGAAGGTCGTCTGGAAGGATGTCCGGAAGGTCGTTTGGCTGTCTGGTCTAATTAGCATATTACGCTTTTATTACTATAGATTACCATAAACAGAATTAGGCTCCAGGCTCATGCAGAAGCAGTAGCAGCAACTGCCAGCTTACTGTGGTTTGGGAAAGATGGTTGTTTCCTTTAAAAATTTGGGGATAAGGACCTGCTTGAAGCAGGGAGTTGGACCAGAGATCCTTTGGGAGTCACTTCCCATGCTGAAGTCTATGATTCTGTGATTTTGAAGGTCCCCAAAAGATGGGCTTTACTGGCTCTCCTGATGTTTGAATTTTCTTTTATCAAAATGCCAAAGCTTTATAATCAGAAAGCAAACGGCCTGGAGAAGAGAGAGGCACATTGCCTCCCATCCTCACTACAGTGTGGGTGACTGATACACCTCCCTCCCAGAGAGCAAATGCTGATGGGAAGCTGGGAACCCCAGCCTGACTGGTGAGCAACAGGGCTTCCCCAGTGAGAACCCGGGCTCTCTGAGACCAAACTCACACCAGCACGAGGCCCAGTTTTAGCTTATTCTCTTAGTGTTAGTCCTGCTTCCCAGACGTGGTGGTGGCGGCTTACGTGTGCTTTGCCAGCTCTGCCCAGCTCGGCTCACACCCTGGAAGGGGTGGCTCCAATACTCACAGGACTCCTTTCCCCTTTAACCCAGCCCGAATCATCGCCCCTCTCATTTCCAAGGCTGCCGCCTGCTCACTCCTCAATCTCTAATCCCATGCCCTGTTTCAAAGTCCTCTGCTTTCCAACCACACCAGCCAGAATGGTCCTCTCCATTTTGGCTCAGAAACCCTTGTCAGAGCTGGGATATCATCATCATCATCATCGGCATTCCTTGAGCATATGCTATGTGCTAGACATGTCCTGATTGCTTCACATGTACTAACTCACATAATCTTCATATGAAACAGGCACGATTAACCTCACGTTACAGATGAGAAACCAAGGCACAGAGAGGTTACGTGATTTGGCCAAGAACACACAGCTAGCAAGTAGGAAAGTGTGGAACTGAACCCCAAATCTGTGCCCTTCCCATTATATCCTTCCCGCCGAGGCAATAACAGTACCTTCAAGCCTGAAATCATTAGGAAAACAAAACACAAACGTCGGTGCGTTGCTCTTGGAGTGGGGTCTAGAGGCTCCATCGTATCAAGTTCATCCCCTTCTTTGTAAAAGGGGTCATTGTAGCCCAAAGACGGAGTGAGTGGTCTTCCCCGTCAGCAGCAGCTAAGCCCAGAGCTAGGGTTTGAGCTGACAAACCCTCGCCCCTTCCATCTCTCTCTCTCTCTCTCTCTCTCTCTCTCTCTCTCTCTCTCTCTCTCTCTCTCTCTCTCTCATTGCCCACAGCCCAGGAGTGCTTTAACCAGAGGTCATGACCTGGAAATTAGCCCACAGTCCTTGTTCCAGCCTGGGAGGGGCACCTCAGACCCTTACTCGCCCCTCCCTGGAAGGCCCTGAGAAGCAATCTCTGGCAGGTTCACTTGTTCGGGGTTCCCTTGCCTGCCTTCTAGTCCGACTGTAAACCTCACCTTGGAGTGAAGACCATAAAAAGTGGCGTGAGCCAAAGTGACAGACTGGACGTGGTCGGAGCGGGCTTCAGGCTTCGGGCGAAGGGTAAGGAAGTGCCTTCACCCCCACGACCCCATCTCCCACCCCAAGTGCCTGCCATTCTGCGCCAGAGAAGGAGTCCCATTCACTGTCCCGAGACGTGCGCTTCCAGCGCTCCCAGTCCCGCCCCTGCTCTCCGTCCTCCTCCGGGGAGAACTCACCGACGCCGCTCTGCGTTTCGGTGGGATTTCCCGGCTGACAGTCCCCTCTGGGGGCTGCGCGGACCCTCCTCCCGGCCGCGGTCCCTCCGTCCTCCTGGGCCGCGCGCGGCCCCCTCCCCGGCTCCGCACCAGCCCAGCCGCCCGCCCCAGCCTCCGGGTCTCCGCTCCGGGGGCGGCGAGGGAGCCGAGGCCAAGCCGGCGGCCGGACAGCCCACGCCGAGCCGCGGAGCGGGCATCGGGCGCCGAGAGACACCTGGACGCGCTGGGCCGGGGCGCGACCGGGCGGAGGGGACGGGACCAGGGTCCGAGAAGCAGCGTGCAGACCCCGGGACCTGCGGATGGGGACCCCAGAGCCGGACTCTCGAGGGGGCCATGGGGGTCGGAGCCCAGGTGGCTGGAGACGCGGGGAGGGGGCGCTGGGCGCGGGCAGAGCGAGGTCTGAGTCGGAGATGCCGCCTGGGCCGGGGCCAGAGGGGTCGGCAGAGTTGGCCCTGCAGCGGCCGGAGGACCGGCAGGCAGGAGCAGGAGCCGGGGCGGGGGCGCGGGGGCACTGACCCGAAGTAGGCGGCGTGGGCGGCGGGCAGCGCCAGCAGGAGCAGCGCGGCCAGGGCCGGGGGCGGCGCGGGGCGCATGGTGCGGGCGCGGGGCCAGGCCACCTCCAGCGCCGCTCCACGGCGCAGCGCCGCCGCCCGCGCCCGCGGGGCTTTAAACCCGGAGGGGCGGGGCGGGCGGGGCGGGGCGGGGGAGGAGAGGGCTGTTGGCCACCACCACCCCCGCCACCCCTGGCGGCGAGCCCCCGTCCCATTGGCGCCGCCGGCCTCGGCCCGCCCCCGCCCCGCCCCAGACCGCCCCCCCCCGCCCCAGGTGAGTGCGCACCTGACGCCGGGCCCACCCGGGGACGCGGCGGCGGAACGGGGGCGCCCCCTCGCCCCTCAGTCCCCGTCCTCCCGAGGCGGGGATGGGAGGGCTGCGTGCGGTGAGGGAGTGTGTGCTTCTCTCTCTCTCTCTCTCTCTCTCTCTCTCTCTCTCTCTCTCTCTCTCTCTCTCGGCGGGTGGTGGCACGCGCTGGTTCTCTCCTCAGGGTACGGGGTATGGGGGTGCCGGACTAGGAGGGAGGAGTGGGAATAGGAGGGAGGAGCCTGGGGTAGGGGAGAAGCGGTGTGGGGTCCGCTCCCCTGGCCGAAGGGCCGGGGACTCCAGGGCAGGGCCAGGTCCTGGGAGCAGAGCGGTTCTCAGGGTCCACGTGTATGGGGGAGAGGACCCTCTTGCCTCCCAAAAGGTCCCTTAGCCAAAGCGGAGCAGGGGAAAGGGAGCTCCCGTTCTAAATGGAAGGCCGGCCAAGGCGAGGTGCACGGCGGGGGCCGGGGGGGGGGGGGGCGTTTGACAAAGCGCCGCTGATGTTCTGGGGACAGAGATCCAGGTTCTCTGGTCAGTGGGGCGGGCAGAGCCGGGGAGGGGGTGGAGGACGGTGTGGGGGGGGGGACTTGCTTCCCAAAGAACCTCTGTCGGAGAGGATGTGCATCTCCACGGCTGGACCACGAAGCTCTGTCTTGCTTATTCTTTTTTTTTTTTCTTTTAAAAATTTAATCCTAATTCCCGAAGCGCAGGTGAGCAGGTGGTACACTCTAGGGGGGAAACCGAAGCAAAGTTTAAAATGTTCTTGAGGGTCTTGAACTCTGGATCAAATCCAGCACAAGAAACTATAACTTGCACTGGATGCCAAGACCTGCGGGTCAACTTTCCAAAAACTCTGCCATGCCTGTAGAACATCTGGTGGCAGCGACCTTGGCTCTGAGGTGGGCACTGCATGATTGCAGGTGGGGAGACAGGTGGGAGATGGCAGCTGTGGCGTTAGGTGTTCGGTGGCATTAGCACAGGAACCCCCCTTCCCCACCCCCGTCCCTCCATAGTGAGGCTCTCAGTTCAATTTTCCTGTCAAGTGAGCAGTGATTAGCTGGTAGAAGATGCTTTTTAACAACTCTGCCAGCCCTACCCAATTCCACGGTCCGTTTATGGAGGGGCACAGCCCCGTGTGATGGGCAGAGACCTGAAGTCAAATCATGTAACTGTGAACCCCAGGTATGAAATGGGGACAATGGCCAATGCCTCACAGGGTTTTTGTGCAGATGAGAGGGATGCCAAATGCCAAACAGGTGCTACCACTCAATAGCCGGTTGTTGTTGCTGTAACGGCAGGCAGCACCGGTGATGTTTACATGCTTTTGGGGGGTGAATGGGTGTCTGATTCGTATCGTTTGCCGATTTCTGTGCTGGAAAGAGTTTGAGCTGCCAATGTAGTGTCACCCCCGATCTCTGGAGCTAGGAAGAGGTTTGCACCGTCAGTCGGCTCTGTCAGCCAGTCTGAGCCAGCTCCAGCTCGCCACTGGTAAGCCCTTGAAGCAGGCTCAACAGAGCTCGGAGGAGCAGCACCGTGTGAGTCAGACTGGAGCCCCAGCCACGCCCTCGCAGCACCGAGCGCGGGCAGTGAGGAGGGAGCAGGTCCAGCTCGGGCTCCCCAACTCCCCATCCTGTCCTCACGCCCCGAAGCACATACCATACACACAAGCAGGCACAAGCATGCACGTGCCTGGAGAAGGGGGTGGGTGGGTGAGGGCGAGTACATTCTCCCAAAGTGACACATTTTCAACATTTCATAAAAGTTACCTGTTGACATCTGATGGTTGAGACTGTGATGCAGAGAAGTTGGAGGAAGCGCCAAAAAGTCAACAGGGACATGCGTGGTTAGACAGTGAGATATGCTTAGAAAATATCCAGATGGCTGGCCACTTCTCTTTGTATCTCCAGAGCCTGGCACAGGGCCCACCCAGCACACAGTAGGTACTCGGGAAATATGTGCTGTTGCCAGCTTGGTCTGTGGTCTTTTTATGGGGCTTCAGGGATAGAAAGAGTCATATGGACACAATGCATGCTCACAGAAGCACCCCTTCTTATTCTCAGACACATGCTTCATTACACACACACACTCTGACACTCTGCAACACAAGCCCAGGCATTCAGTGACACACAGACTCCCCCATACCTCCCCCATGGTTGTCTAAATTCCTAGGCAGACCCACAGCTGCTCCTGGACCCACAGGTTCACACAGGTATGCAGGAGAAGCATTCTTAGACATCCACATGCAGCTACCTGTCTCCATTAACCAGCCCAAGGCAGCCACGCTCTGGGATGGAGTCCTCCCCCTCCCCCTGTGTGTATACACACACACACACACACACACACACACACACGCTTTCTCTCTCTTTGGAAGTTACAAACGTGTGGATGAAAGGCTAGCAAATGGTTTTGCATCAAATCCATCTCCAAGGTGTCTCCAGAACTCCCCCCACCCAATTCTGCCCCCAAGTCCAGCCACCCTGACAGAAAGCAAACCTGCAGGATCCATCCATCTTTTTTAAATCCTCTCCTGAGGATATTTTCCCTTTGATTTTCAGAGAGAATGGAAGAGAAAGGGAAAGATAGAAATATCGATGCGAGAGAAACACAGCATATTGGTTGCCTGGAGGAGCCTGCAACCAAGGTACATGCCCTTGTCCAGAATCAAACCCAGGACCCTTCAGTCTGCAGGCCGACACTCTATCCACTGAGCCAAACAGGCTAGGGCAAGAATCCATCCATCTTTGTCAGGTGCCCCACAATTCCAAACCCCAGCCAAGGCAGAGCCAGGCAATCACACAGTCCCTCCAGCTCACCGCCAGGCCCTGAGCAGTGGAAAGGAGGAACTCCAGGCTGGCTCGCTCTCTCTAAGCACCCTGAGGCCGCACTGGAAATGCTCTCAGCCCCCAGGAAGCAGAGCAGGAGATGCAGCTCTGAGGGAAGGCACCAGTGCCCAGGCCTGGCCCGAGGCCTGGCTGCTCAGGAGAGCTGGTGCTGGGGAAGACCCGATAGGACTTGGATGGGTGTGCTGGCCTGTCCTGCTGCCCATCCTTCCCACTACCCCGCTCCCCCAACCCCAGCCTCTTTGCTGTGACCTCATTATGACTAGTTCTGTCTGACCACTCCCAACTACTCTCCCCGCCACACTAATTTGGTCTTGACTCTCACTTGTATTGTTTGGCTCCGGGCCCTGTGAGGAAGCATGTTGGGCATCTCTGTCCTTGCTATGCAGATGGGACCTTAAGTCCAGAGAGGGCACTTTCTCAGTGTCATGGAGCTCACTGACGCTTGGTGGTTGGGGACTTGATGTCTCCAGAACATCAGGCTGAATGAAATAAGACTGAGGCTAAATGGGGAAAGTGAACTCGGACTGCAGAATTCCACATGTAGGAGACTCATGGCTGTGCTTGAAAACAACAAACAAGGATGGCAAGAAAGACACCCAAATGGTAAAAAAAAATTTTATTTTAATTTTTTAAAAAATGCCTTGGGTTAGGGATTGTGGGTATAAAAAAACGTTGTTATCCTCTTTGTAGTTTCCACACTTTCTATTATAAGCATATTTAACATTTATGGTAGAAAAAAGATTTCTTAAAAGGGAGAAAGGACAGATACTCCAGAATAATTCTTCCGTGATAGACCTTTAAGGCCTGGTAGAAAAGCTGTTGGGAGGTGGGGTGGGAATATTTCTGACATCCTCCTATGGCACACATCCATCTGTCTTCTGCAGGAAGGACCCTGTGCTCCCTGGGGGAGCTCACTCCTGAGTGGGCAGAGCTCCCCCGACCCATGGCCATGCTCATTCCAGGCCTTCTCTCCTGGTCCTGCCTCACCGTCCTCACTCCAGAACTACACTCTGAGGGGGGTTTTGTTATGCAGAGGGTGGTGTAGCCTTCCCTTGCCCCTTGCCTGCTTGAGGCCCTGCTCTGGGCATCTTTGAGCTCAGCCAAGGAAGGCCAAATGCAGAGGGCTGCCCTTTAGCATACCCCCCAAGCCCTGCTTCCATTGCCAAGGCCAGCAGGTGTCCTGTGTGGGCCACCATCCTCACCTGGAAGCCTGCCTTGAATGACCACTCCTGGTTCTGCTTACTCACCACCTTGGCCCTGGAGACTTTCTTAGCACAGCTTAATTTTGAGCTAGTGATGACATTAATGCATATAGTCCTGGAGTTGGGGCGGGGGGGATGTTAGGTGCCCCTGTTCTCTGTAGATTGCAGATTTCTTAAGAACTAAAACTCTGCCTCCGGTTTCTTCGACATCCCACATCTTCCCCCCTAGTGGTACAGAGCTTTAGCTCACAGGCAAGTCATCGTTACCTATTTGAATGAATGAATGAATGAATGAATGAATGAATACTGGAGTGTGGATAGGTCAGACCTGACTTATTGATGGCTACGGACCCTGCCCTTGATTTTATAATTTTCATGAGGGACAAGATGTTGAGCCCTCTATCCTAGCATGCTTGGATCTAGAGGAAGTTCTGTCTAGTGATCATAGACAGGTAGGTAGGAAACAATCTCAATTTTGAATAGTGACTCCATGGTGACTCATACATGTCAGGAGGCATGTGTATGTGTGCCCTGCCTGGGCACTGGGGTCACCATGAATATACCAACCACTGGGTTCCCACTTCCCAAAGCATTAGAACACAGTGGAAGGTGACTGGGCAAGCAGCATTGAGCAACAATCACGTGTTTTCAACTATTTCAATCCCCAGTAGATCCTTCCCACGGGTCACG